TGCCGCTGAGCTAAATCCCCAGCCCCGAAGACTGGACTTTATCCTAACCCTCACACCTCCACCCCGCCCCCCCGTACTGGGAATCGAACTCACAACCTCGCGCTTGCCAGGCAGGCTCTGTGCTGCTGAGCTAAATCCCCAGCCCTAACCTTCTTATTTTTTATTTTGAGACAAGGTCTTACTCCATTGCCTACTCTGACCTCGAATTTGTAATCCTCCTGCCTCAGTCTCCTGAGCAGCTGGAATTACAGGTGTGTGTCAGTTTTTTATGGTGTTCACTAGGCAAAAAAAATTATCAAGCTGGACATGGTGGTACATGCCTGTAATCCCAGCACTCAGGAGGCTGAAGCAGAAGGATTGGTGTGAGTTTGAGGCCAGCCTAGACTACGTAATGAGTTCAAGATTAGCCTGAGCTCCAAAGTGAGACCTTGTCTCAAAACAACAACAACAACAACAACAAACCAGATAGTTCCATTTGTTAAACAGTTCAGTCCAACAGCTGAAGTAGGTACGTCACCTTAGGCACAGACATTCACTAATGGGGTGTGCACCTGTTGGGCACTACGTAACTTGAAAACTTGGAATTAGAGTAAATCAGATACTGCCATATGTGTTTCCTTTCTCACACTAATATTTGTGTGATTCGTATTTCTTCCATAGCAACTGCTAAAAAAAATCCAGCTTTCTAAGATTTGGATGTGATATAACTGAGAACAGTGTGGTAGGTTGCTGAAATTGTGAGCTGCTGGAGCTAGTGATTCCACTGGTATCGGACACAAATCAAGAATTGCTGTGTTTCTCTTGAAAATGTAGGATAGCCAGTGGGACGCCCTACCTGTCACCTCACTTTTTACCCCAGACCACCTAGTACATAGTTTGGAAGCCAAAGTATAGGCATTTGTTTTTCTTCTTGCTGAGCTACGCAGTGAGTTGTGAGATGCATTCATGCTTTTATTACAGGATCTGAAGTAGGAGGGAGCCTGTGTTCTGGTGGGTTTTTTTAGTGACCTTTTCATTGCTGACCAGGTGCCCATGTAGGAACTGTATTGGGTCATGTCTTTTTCTGGGACTGTATGTTTAAATGTGTGTAATAAGAATTAGGAAGTACAGGTGTATGGACCATGGCTTGATTCTAGCTGGTTTCAGAGTCTTGTTGACAGTCTTAGTTTCGGCAGCTCAAAGAATGACTTTTTTCCTGATGAGATTCTATTACCACCTGTCTCAGGGCTTCTGACAGTAGCAGCATAAAGAGCCTAACTTCTCTCTGATTTTTTTTTTCCCCTATAAAACCTACATTCATTTTACTCTCCTGGTTTTTATTTTTAGCCCTCTTTCCCTGTTTGGAGGGCGCTTTCTTTCCTGCCTATTCCTCTGCCTGTGTTCTTCCATTCTTTCTCCAGAAATCATGTAAATGTATTAGGTGTGCTTAACTCCATTAAAATACCTGCTATGAAATGTTTTTTAAAATGCTCTTTTAGGGCTGGGGATTTAGCTCAGCGGCACAGCGCCTGCCTGGTAAGCACAAGGTGTTGTGAGTTCGATTCCCGGTACTGGAAAAAAAAAAAAAAAAGCAAAACAAAACAAAAACAAAAAAATGCTCTTTTAGCCTGGCATGGTGGTGCATGTCTGTAATCCCAGCACTATGGGAGGCTGAGGGAGGAAGATCACAAGTTCGAACCCAGCCCGGGCAGTTTAGTGACTTAGTGAGAACATGTCTAAGTAAAAAGTAAAACAGGACTTTGGATGTAGTTCAGTGTGAAGGCCCTAGGTTTAATTCCCTTACACCACAAAAAAAACCCAAAAACCAAAAACGAACTTTTTGTTTTCTGTACTTTTTGTTCTCTCAAACTTTTTGTTATCTGTAGCTTAGTAGAAGAGATATACTGAATTAGAACTATTAAGAATTATAAGGAAGGATTTTTGTTAAGTAAGTTCTTTAACAGTAAAAGTGCCTAAAACTAATACCTAAAAGTATTAGTGGCTGAAACAGTGCTCAGCAGGGATATCGTAACGAAGAGCGAAGCATATGTTGTAGGGATATGTCTTGACCCAGGCAGCCATTGGCCCACAGAATAGGCATGTGGTGTTTTGTGAACTGTGGGGTGTACTTCATATTGCCAGGATTCCTAGAACTCCTAATTGTCTTACACGCAGTTGACTTGCACAGTTATGTTAACTAATCTGTAAAGGCACTTCAGTCTAAAGTAGTTTAATATCTAAATCTTTTTCTTTTTAATTTTTTTGTCTTTTTGAGACAGGGTCTCACTGTGCAGTTCAGGCTGGCCTTGAGCTCACTCTGTAGCCCAGGCTGGTCTCGAACTCGCAGCGATCCTCCTGCCTCAGCCTCCCAAGTGTGGGGATTACAGGCGTGCGCCACCATGCCCATCTTAATATCTAGTTCTTAAACTCCAACAGTTCTATGATTTAAATAAATATTTTTTCCTGTCACTTCTTGGTTGCTTTTTAAACTGTTTTTGATGAGCTCTTTAAGAACTGTAAGTAATAGTTTGTAATTTTGCTGAGATACGAATTTGAATCACATGTGCTTTTGACATTCTTGTCATTAGGTGAGTTCTGACTTACGTGAATTTCCACTTTACTGCATTTCCTGGACGATTAAGCAGTCATTTTTATTTGGGACACACATCAGAGTCACCAGTGGAGGTTTTGGCACCCTTGTATGGCCATTCCAGATCAGAATCTGTAGTGATGGGTCTTAGCTGTCTACATCTTTAATAGCTTTCCAGGCGATTCTGTTGTGCTTCTGGGTTTTTTGTTTTGTTTTGTTTTGTCTTTTTGAGACAGGGTCTCGCTACGCAGTTCAGGCTGACTTGGAGCTCACTTTGTAGCCCAGGCTGGTCTCAAACTCGCAACGATCCTCCTGCCTCAGCCTCCCGAGTGCTGGGACTACAGGCGTGTGCCGCCACGCCCGGCAGTTGTGCTTGTGTTACTGAGAACTGCTGCAGAAGTTTCTGAGTTGGGGTTGTGCCACACTCTTGGTGTCACGTGGAGTGTGAAGACCTGGTGGTGGTCTGCGGTGAGGGGCTGTGTGGAGGCTCAGCTCTAAGAAGTGGGGGCACTGAGGGGCAGTAACGTAGAAGGACGGGTTTTGGCCCAATGCCTGAGTTACAGGCTGCTCTGTTAGGGTTATGACTTTGGGCAAGTCTCGTAACTCTGAACTTCACTGTTACTTTTGATAGGGATTGTAGGCATTTTAACCTTGGAAAAACGTACAGAAAGCCTGTAGCTGACGTTTCTGGATGTTAGTGAAAGTAAAATAATTACACACTGACTGGTAAGGAAGTTTGATTTCTAATACATTTTGGATACTTGGGAAGTAAATCATGATGTTTGGCCTGTTCAGATTTATAACTGGCTCTTCCTTTTTTCTTCCTCCCCCCGCCCTGACCCTTGCAGCTCCTAGATCTCCCGGGTATCATTGAAGGTGCCAAGGATGGGAAAGGTAGAGGTCGTCAAGTCATTGCAGGTGAGGAACCCAGGGCCACATCCTGTGATGCCACGCTTCACCTGGGATTCTTTCCTTTTCTCTTTCTTCTTCTCCTTCCTCTCCCTTCCAGCAAAGTATTAGAATGTCAAAGTAGCAAAGTACTAGAATGTCAAAACATTTTTATTTGAATAAAATGTCAAAATTTCAAGGAACCTCTACCACTCGTAGTCCAGAGCCCCTTTTTTAATTGAAAAACTTAAGGACAGGAAAAGAGAATTAAATATTGCACTTTGTCCAGTATTTTGTTTTGTTTTGTTTTGTTTTTTCTCCGGTACCGGGACTCGAACTCACGAACTCGCGCTTGCCAGGCAGGTGCTGTGCCGCTGAGCTAAATCCCCAGCCCTGTCCAGTATTTCTTTTCTTTTTTAATGGTAGCAGAGTTTTATTAAAGTTAGGGAAAGAAACAGGCTCTGCAGAGTGAGTTTGGGCCAAGTAAAAGTAGGAAAAGAAACACACTTCACAGGGTGAGAGTGGCCGCCTGTGCAGGACGGAGCGCAGTGGCAGAAACGCGCTGTCAGCTGTCACCTGGCATGAACCCACTCGTCGGGCTGGCGTCAGGCCCAGGCCATCCTATTGAAAAACCTGCTCACGTTCTTATGGGAGGTGCATGTGCAGGGCTTTGGGAACCACTCTGCATGTGTCCTGGGGTTTTGTAATTAATGGGTCATGTCTGCTTCCCCCGCCAGCCTTGCCATGCCCTGTCTCCTGTCTCATTTCCCGCCGAGAGATACATATCCCCAGAATTCTGTATGGGGTGCTGCGGGAGGGGAGGTCTCTGTCTTCTATAGCTTCTTCCAGCTGGAAGAGCCGTAGACCCTACCTAGTGGGGATTATGTGCTCTCCAACTGCCTTGGGGAGTTGTGGCTCATGTCTGGGTTGAAGAAAAGAAACCCGTCAGAAGACAGTGAGAAAAGAGTTAGTGACTGTTGAGCTGCCTGTTCGGTGGGAGAAAGAGAATAAGTGTACTGTTACGTTGGGGGTGTAGAACCCACGTATGAGGAGCAGGGCAGATTTCCATGCTTCTGCTGGAGGACAGCATGGCATAGAGGGAGTTAAATAAGTTACTGAGATTACTAGAGATCCCCTTGATCCCAGCTATGGCCATATTCCAGAGATGGAAGTCAAAACTGAGGGAAGTAGTTGAATCGGCTCATAACACCCAGTGTTCCCTCGTGTTCCTCACAGGAAATGATCATGTCCGTGGACAGGGGCGTTGCAGGTTCCCGTGGGCCTCTCCAGAGCAGCAAATGGGCACTCCGGCTGGTGTAGCCACTCTAAGAGAAACGTCCAGCGCCATGAGCCAGGCACCTTGGGCGCCTCCCTCTCTGAGCAGGGCCTGGGCAGTGCGGGCAGTGGCTTGGTGGTTTTGTGCACAGTGTCCAGACGTTTTGCCCTTGAAACAGAAATTCTTTCCTTCGTTGTCTTTGGGTTTTCCCTTAGACAGACTGAGTGAGTTTAAAGCATTTGAACTGCAGGGCAAAACCCTGCTCAAAAAGACAAAAAAAAAACCCCAAAACAAAAGAAAGGAACCATGAAACCTGGGTGTGCTGGGCATGGGGGTACATACCTGTAATCCTGGCACCGAGGAGAGGAAGCAGTAGGGTTGCAGGTTCAAGGCCAGCTAAAACTACATAGTAAGACCTTGACTCAAAGAAAAGGTAGTCTTTGTGCCTGGATCTTCTATTCTATTTTTTAAACACTCAACCATGTTTTGTAGGTATCAATGATACTTCTCTTTTTATAAGTGAATAGTACTCCATTTTACAGACACACCATCATTTGTTTATCTCCCTATTACTCACCTACTGAAAGACACCTGGATTGGTTTTAGTTTTGGGTTATTAGGTACAAGTTTGCTGTGAACATTCATGGACCTCTTTCTGTGGGCCTGTTTTCATTTCTCCTGGTTAAATAGCAGTGGAATTGTTGGGTCACATCATAGTATAGGTTATTAGAAGCTACTAAACAGTTCTGCAAGCATTTGTACAATTTTACATTCCCATAAGTAGTATACAAGAGTTTCAGCAGCTATACATCCTCACCAGCACTTGGTATGTTGTTCTTTTCTAACGTTATCCATCGTAACCAGAATTCAGTGATATCTCACTATGGTTGCATTTATCTGATGATTAATGGTGTTGAGTCACCTTTTCATGTCATCGTGTAGATACTGCCTCAGCCTCCTGAGTGCCGGGATTACAGGTGTGTGCCAGCACGCCCGTAATTTATGTGGTTCCATTTATGTGAAATTCTAAAAAGTGCAAACTGCTTGTGGTAATAGAAGGCAGGTCAGCGGTTGGTCGGGAGTAGAGGAAAAGATTGAAGAAGGAACAAAGGCCCTTTTTGGAGAAGTGAATGTTCTGTGGTAACACAGCCGTGACATGGTTTCAAACCGTGTGCTTAATATTAGTACAATTTACTTTTTGTAAATTGTACCTCAAAGTTTATTATAAGTATGCTAACTAGATACTCTTATTCAGCTCTTCCTGTTTTAAATTTTCATAAGCTCTTTTGGAGTTCAGGTTATTGCCTGGTTTGTGTCTTTTTTTTTTTTTTTTTTTTGAGGGTACTGTGAATTGAACTCAGGACCTTGCATTTGCCAGACAGGCCTTGTGCTGCTGAGCTATCTCCCCAGCCCCAAGAGCTTTTTTTTGAGACAGGGTAGCACTGTGTAGCTCAGGCTGGCCTTGAACTCGTGGCAGTCCTCCTGCCTCAGCCTCCCAAGTGCTGAGACTATAGGTGTGTGCTGCCATGCGCAGCTTGTGTCTTCGTTTTGACTTTTTTTTTTTTTTTTTTTGACAGTATATGTAGGGGGCTGGGGATTTAGCTCAGCAGCAAAAGCGCCTGCCTGGCAAGGGCAAGGTCGTGAGTTCGGTTCCCGGTACTGGAGAAAAACCAAAAAAAAAAAAAAAAAAGACAGTATATGTAGAAGATGTGTCAACTTTTGGGTGACTATATAAAGGCTTTGAGACATACACTGTAAACTGATCTCTGGTATAAATCTTTGTCACTTTAGGAGCTTGTACGTATTTGTAAAATAAATCCATCTTTTTTAAGTATAGAGGGAAAACGCCTCTACTTGAGTTAGTTAAGCCTTATTGATCTTTGGCTATAATTTTTTTCCCCCCCAGTGGCCCGTACATGTAATTTGATCCTGATTGTTCTGGATGTCTTGAAACCCTTGGGACACAAGAAGATAATTGAAAATGAGCTGGAAGGCTTTGGCATTCGCTTGAATAGCAAACCTCCTAACATTGGCTTTAAGAAGAAAGACAAGGGAGGCATTAATCTCACAGCCACCGTAAGTGGGGAAGATGGCATGAGACGGCTCCGGAAGAAACTAGAGTGGAGAGTAGACTGAGGTGCATGGACCTTGAATTTGGAAATTTCCTGGCTTTCCCCTGCCGTAGTTGAGATAATGTATTAATGTGGTAATGACTGACAGAGACTTTAAGGTTAGACTTACCTTGGCAACTTCATTTCCGCCTTCGGGTTTTCTCTTTGGGTGGTATAGAAGTACAGACCAATCTTACGCTTGTGTGAAATGGTTGGCTGCCGATATCCTGAGTTTTCATTCATTTAACACAAACTTACAGAGGCCAAGCATTACTTTAGGGCATGAGCAGTGGTGGTGGTGATGGGAGAGCAGAAGTGGGAACAAGGTAGACAGACACTCCTACTCTTGGGTATAGTAGCAAACAGAATTACTGAGTGAAGTACAGTGCGTAAGACAATAATAAATCCAAGAAGAAAGTAAACTAGAGGAGGAGGATAGTGGTGTGGCAGTTGAGTTTTCAAATGTATTGGTCAGAGAAGTCTTTGCTTAGATGATACAAAGTTGCATTCTAAGTTCAGGTCCCTGAAGTAGAGCATATCCTTGTATGGTTGAGGAACAAGACAGTGAGTGAGTAGAAGAGATTTGATTTGATTAGGTGTTAGTGGAATTATAATGGCTTTTGTCTTGAGAAATAGATTGAATTGGGTGAGGCAGAGGCAGGAGGGTCACTGCAAGTTGAGGCCAGTCTGGGCTACACAGTTGAAGGCCATCCTAAACTACATAGCAAGACCCTGTCTCAAAAACAGAGCAAGCGAGGTGTGGTGGCTCACGCCTATAACCCTAGCATTCAGGAGGCTGAGGCAGGAGAATCACTGCAACTTCGAGACCAGCCTGGGCTACAAAGTGAGTTCAAGGCTAGCCTGAACTGCGTAGTGAAACTCTGTCTCAAAACACCAAAGCGAAAACAAAACAACAAAACAGAGTTCATGTATACTCTTGTCACAATAATTCAGTCAAGAAGTGATGGCTTCTTAGACCAGGGTTGTAACAATGGGGGAAAAGAGAGCTGATGGGTTGTGGGAATGGTCTATTAGGCATTATATTTCGGTTGGATTATGGGTTATGAGAGAAAGAGATTCAGAGGTGAGTGAGAGTTTTGTCATGCACTAGAAAAATGAAGTCTTATTACTAAAATTGTAGGACTTTGAGTAGAATTAGTTTGGAGGGGAGAGGAAGCTCAGGTGGCAGTCAGGAGGCATATGAAGAGCATATATATCTGGAGATATGTTTGGGGGTTATCAACTTACAAGCTAGAAGCCTGGCTGAGGTTACTAAGAAGGTAAAGATAGAGAGAAAAGGTAAGATGTTTGAGGAAATAAGATTTTCAGAAAAAGGAAAGAAGAAGCCACCACACCTTGCTTGTTCTGTTTTTGAGACAGGGTCTTGCTATGTAGTTCAGGATGGCCTTGAACTGACTGTGTAGCCCAGACTGGCCTCAACTTGCAGTGACCCTCCTGCCTCTGCCTCACCCAATTCAATCTGTTTCTCAAGGAAAACCAGAACAGTTTAGAATCTTGGAAACCAAGTAAATTGTTTAGATTTAAGCTGTTTGGCCCAAGAGAGCTTTCTGTTACTCTATCATAGTGTTTAAATTTGAGAATTCAGGTTGTTGTTGCTGTTGTCCTTACCGTGGTAAGAAACGCATTACATAGCGCTAGGGTGTAGCTGGGTGAAGGAGCCTCTAGCTACCGTGCAGCGGGGGCCACCAGAGTGAAAGCGTCTTTACCACCTTCAAGCATACAGGACCGGGGGGCTCTGGCTGCAGGTACAGGACAGAATAGGCAGGTCCCCATGAAGGACATTGCCTGGGGCAAGGTGGAGGCTGAGGGACCTGTCTGAGCAGATACGTGGTGGGGTCTGCAGAGCCGCTCCCCTGAATCTAACCCAAACCAAAGAAAACGGAACAAACAAGCGCACAAGCAAACATACAAGCGCGCTGCGTAGGGCGTGGCGGCACACAGGCCTATCATCCCAGCCCTTGGGAAGCTAAGAAAGGCAGGAGGATCGCCACTAGTTTGAGGCCAGCTTGGGATACATAGTGAGTAGGAGGCCGGCCTGGACTACATGGCCGGGGCCTCTCTCAAAAGTAGATTTGAGTATTCAGGACTCCTGTGTTAGTCAGCCAGGGCTGCTATAATGAAGTGCCACACACTGGGTGGCTTAAGCAGTAGAAATTAATTTTCATAATTCCAGAGACCTAAAATCAAGGCGCTGGTGATGTGGGTTTTAGATTAGGACCCCGCTCCAATGACCTCACTCTAATTCTCTTCAAAGCCCCTTTCTCCAAGTATAGCAACATTGTAAGATACTGAAGGTAGAACTTCAGTGTTTGACTTATAAGGGACTAAGGTTGGCGGGTCGGGGAGGGGTGGAAACACATTTCAGCCCGTTAATACCTTCCTTTGCATTGAGAAAGATTTGTAGTGTTTAATTACTTCCTACTAAAATTAGCTGCTCTCATCCAGGGTATTATTTGTATAATGACTTTGCACTTTCGCTAGAAGTATCCAGGTGTGTGCATGGGTAAGTATCTCCTCCGCCCGCTGACCCGTCATTCATTCCTGTGCCCGTTCAGTGCCCCCAGAGTGAGCTGGATGCTGAAACGGTGAAGAGCATTCTGGCTGAATACAAAATCCATAATGCGGACGTAACTTTGCGGAGTGATGCCACAGCCGATGACCTCATCGATGTGGTGGAAGGAAACAGGTACTGACTAAGCACTCTGCCTGAGCCTGAATTTTAAACATTTTGATGGAAGCCTGGTGTGGTGGTACACTCCTGTAATCGCAGCACTCCGGAGGCTGAGGCAGGAGCATTGCCATGAGTTTGAGGCCAGCCTGGGCTACGTACTAAGACCCTGGCTCAAAAACAGAAAAATCAAAAACACTACTACCCCACAAAAAAACCCAGTGTGATGGAAACTATTGGATCGTGAATTTGGCAGATGTGGATTCTAACTCCAGTTGTGCTACTATCTTAAATAATGGTCTTAATTTCTAACGTCTGTCCTTGCTCTGCAGGTTTTTTTTTTTTTTTTTTTTTTTTTTGGTCTTTTTGAGACAGGGTCTTACTATGCAGTTCAGACAGGCCTTGAGCTCCCTTTGTAGCCCAGGCTGGCCTCAAGCTCACACTGATCCTCCTGCCTCAGCCTCCCGAGTGCTGGGATTACAGGTGTGCACCACCACATCCAGCTTTGCAGTTTGATTTTGATGATTAATTTTTCCATTTTAGTTACTTGCTATGAAGGAGGTTGTCGTCTAAGCTTTTCAAGTGATGTCCAAAAAAAGTAGCTAAGTCTGCTCTCTGAGAATTAATCTATGGGAAAAATCTTGTAGGCTGTTCTACAGGAGTGAAAGAAGGCCAGGCTGTGCCTGTTCCTTCCAGCCTAAGTGTGCTGCTGAAACCCTATTCCATGGGACATTACTAACACTTTGGTAATTTAAGCCACTGTTAAAAGTTATTCTTACTCTTTGAATGTAGTGATTTTAGTTGCTTTTCTGTTGACTTGTTTGATGACTTTATTTGGTTGTTGTTTGAAAACTGAAACCAAGTGCTTTGAGTTCATCATTTTACAAGTGAGGCAGCTGAAGCCTGAGAAGTTAGGGCTTGGTGGGGTGTGGTAGTGCAGGCCTATAATCCTAGCACTCAGGAGGCTGAGGCAGGAGGATTGCTGCAACTTTGAGGCCAGCCTGGATTACAAAGTGAGTTCAAGGCCAGCCTTAACTGTGTAGCAAAACCCTGCCTCAAAAAAGACAAAGACAAATAAATAAATAAATAAATAGTTATACTGGCCTAATTATTAATAATCTTAGTTGTCATGTTGTTGGACACTGGAATTATAACATTACCAGATACTGTACTTAAAAAATTGTTAGTCTTTAAAGATTAGGAAATATATTAAAGGATCTGTATTAACAAATTATGAAATATGTTAGAAATTGTACTTACCTTTTTTTCAGTACTGGGTATTTATCCTAGGGCTTCCTGCTTGCTAAGCAAGCACTCTGCCATTTAGTTACATCCCTAATCTTCCATAGAGTACTTCGATTTAGCTTTGTGGGAAACCATTCTCCCAGGAGCCAGATTCATACATGGGACTAGGGCCTCATTGTTTTTACTTTTCAACCTGTAGTTCAGTCTTTGCATGGACTTTCTGCTTACTCTAGTAGGAAGCTTTTTTTGGTCGGTTTGTTTTGCAACTGTCTGTCGTCTCTGTTGAGAGTCTCTCATTTGGGATGCAGGTGTGTACGGGGCTCCTGGTAGTTGTGTTGATGATTTTGTTAACTCGAAAGTATTTCCTTATTTTTCCTCTGCTTCTGTAGAGTGTATATCCCTTGTATCTATGTATTAAACAAGATTGACCAGATCTCCATTGAGGAATTGGACATCATCTATAAAGTGCCGCACTGTGTACCCATCTCTGCCCATCACCGCTGGAATTTTGATGACTTACTGGAGAAGATCTGGGACTATCTGAAACTAGTGAGAATGTAAGTAAGTCCTTGTGTGGATCGGGTAATGTTGCTGTAGGAATTAATTAAACCAGGCTGTCCTAAGTGAGACTTTAGGGCTCACTCACGAAATCTGAGTCTCTTTGGAGATAAAGTAAATTGGTTCCTTTTATATATAAGGTCATAAGAGGTCATTTTCGTCCTCAGACTGGAGGTTATTCTGGTCTGATCTCAGGGGTGACGGAGGGGTGGTGTAGGTCCAACCTACACACAGTCTTATGCCTGCCCTCTCTTTCTAGCTACACCAAACCCAAAGGGCAGTTACCAGATTACACATCTCCTGTGGTGCTGCCTTACTCCAGGACCACAGTGGAGGATTTCTGCATGAAGATTCACAAAAATCTTATCAAAGAATTTAAATAGTAAGTGTCATGGGCCTGTGGTGCCTCCTTTTTCTTCTGAGCTACTAATTTTACTAACAGTAATGATCAGAATAGCTTTAAATAAACCTCGTAGCAAGTTCTAAAGCACTTGCCTGGTTTGAACTCCAGGTTTTCTTGAAATTATATCTAGTTGGAGCAAGATGAGCTTCAGAAGCCTCTTCAGGTTAGCAGGGCTTAGTTGTATAAAGGTCCTGACTTGCCTTCATTAATTCATCTTCCCCTTGACAGAGTCAGGTATGTCTTCCTTCCAGGATCGTAACATCCTCCACTGGGCACTTAGTCCCTCTTTAAACAAGCATGGGCTGGGCATGATTGCACCCACCTGTAATCCCAGCGCTTGGGAGGCTGAGGTAGGAGGACTGCGGTGAAGTTCAAGGGCAGCCTGAACTACATAGTAAGACCCTATGTCAAAACACAGGGCCAGGGATATAGCTCAGGCGCAGAGCCTCCTGGCAAGAGTGAGGTCAAGTTTCGAGTTTGGTTTCTGGTACCAAAACCAACCAAGCAAACAAAAAACCAAACTTCTAAGCATGGGCACAACTCTCCTACTCTTTCTCATACTTTTACTGCTGACTGAGGCTGCAAAAGATTTTGTTTCATTTTGAACTAATTTTAGAGTTGCAAAAGTAGTAAAAAGAGTTCCCTTTTATCCTTCACGTTTTATAATGCTAACAGCTCACTCTACCTTGGTACAATTCTGAGAACAAGAGATTAGCATTGGTAAAAAAATTTGGTGGGGGCATACTGGGAATCGAACTCAGGACCTTGTGCTTGCCAGGCAGGTACTTGTGCCGCTGCTATGTCCCAGGCCCTACCATTGGTAAAGTATTAAATGAACTACACACCTTACTTGAATTTCACTTTTTTTTTCCCTACCAGTGTCCTTTTTGTGCTCCAGGAACCTGCATGACCTCTAGTTTTATTTGTCCCTAGTATTCTAGTGTTCTAGTTTCCCAGTAATGTTTTCTTGGACTTTCATTGTACTATATTTGATGACTTTGACACTTTCAAAGTGTTTACTAGTTGTTTTGTCAAGTGTTTCTTACTTTGGATTTGTCTGATATTCTCTTGTTTTTTTTTCCCCTTTATTTTGGTGTGGGACTTGTGACTGAATGTAGAGCCTCATGTAAGCTAGGCAAGCACTCTACCACTAAGCTATACACCCAGCACAAATTTTTTTCTGAAATTTTCGTCTGCTGATTGTAGCAGCTATCTGAGAGCTTGTCTGCAACATTTATTACTCTTATATTTGCCTAATGCCGATTCTTTATTTTCCTTTTATATTTATTTATTGGAACTCTACTGTAAGCTACAGATGTCATTTATCCTCCACTTAATCCATAATGTATATCAGTATGAGTTCTTGGATATTTAATTTATTCTGTAAGCTGTAATTCAATACTGTCATTATTTTGTTGCTCAAATTTTTCAAGTCTTGACCTTTAGGAACTCTTTCCTGTTTGTTTTTTTTTTTTTTTTTGGTTTTTCTCCGGTACCGGGAACCGAACTCACGACCTTGCGCTTGCCAGGCAGGCGCTTCTGCCGCTGAGCTAAATCCCCAGCCCCGAACTCTTTCCTGTTGTATCCTGTGTTCATTTCATAAGCTGCCATCTTTTTTCCTAAGTGTTTGCTTACTTCTTGGAACTGCTAGGTATTCATGATTGATTCTGATTATTGCCTGCACTAATGACTTCTCCAAGGAGCCCTGGTTTTTAAGATCTGGGTGCTAGGTGTACTCATTGCTATAGGTTATTATTGCTTGTAGGGCCTCTCAGCAGCAGGGCTAGGAAATATATCCAAGGGAACTAAAACACACTTGTGTACGCATCTATATTTTTGTATCTGTTACCCCTCCTCCCTCCTTTCTCTCTCCTTCCCTCTCTCCCTCTTTGTCTCTCTTCCCTCAAAAACTGAGTTTATGCCCTTATCTCTTATTCTAGTTCAGAACCATAGTGCTTTAGTCTTTCTGCATTTCTTATTTTTTACCCACAAATGAGAGATCCAGCTGTCATTATCTATAAACTCTTATTTTTAAATTTTTTGGGGGTCTTTTTTTGAGGCAGGGTCTCATTATGCAGTTCAGGCTGGTCTTGAGCTCATTTTGTAGCCCAGGCTGGTCTCAAACTCGCAACAATCCTCCTGCCTCAGCCTTCCGAGTGCTGGGATTACAGGTGTGCGCCATCACGCCAGTCCCAAGGTCCTGAATTGATTCAGACATTTACTTTTCATGGTCTTTTGGTGAAAAGTCACAAGTCACACAGGACCAGCTTTGGTGAATAAGGTAGATGAGGTCACACTGTAATTTTTTTGTTTGTTTTTTAAGACAGGGTCTTGCTATGCAGTTCAGGCCGGCCTTGGATCTACAACGTAGGCCAGGCTGGCCTCGCTCCTCCTGGCGTAGCCCCCCAAGTGCTGCAGTGCAGGTGGTGCCAGCATGCCCGGCGTACACCATAATGTTCTCACGAGGCTTCCTTTCCGGTTGGGTGGCACTTGGCAGCAGCCTTAACTGTATTTTTGATCACACCTTGGAAAAAGCACAAAAGAACTTGTAGACTGCTTCAGAAAGTGGCAGAAACAGTGGGATGTGTTTGAAGTAAGGGGCGGGACTGTTTTTATTTGGATTATAGCAGTGTACTTATGCTGTATTTTAAAAATTTAAACACTATATTGTTTGATCAGCCCATATATGTACATATATGTTATACCCTTGATTATTATCAGTACTTTTATATATTCCAGGAAGTTAGGAAGACATAAGACAGTGTTCTTGTTCGGTGGAGAGGGCAGAACTTCCCTAGCCTGCTTGAAGAGATACACTCATTTCCTGTCAGTGCCCCCTGTCCCGGTAGACCTAGTAAATGCACGTGTTCTCCAGCAGCTTATCGCTGACATTATTGCATGGCTGAGAATGAATCTACGGTCTGAGTTTTTCAGGGTCTTTCTCTGTGCTTTTTGTTTTTCTTTGGTTTGTTTTTGTTTTTGGTCTTTTTGAGACACAGTTTCACTATGCAGTTCAGGCTAGACTTGAACTCACTTTGTAGTTCAGGCTGGCCTAAACGCACAACGCTCCTCCTGCCTCAGCCTCCCAAGGGCTGGGATTATAGGTGTGCGCCGCCATGCCCAGCATCAGGGTCTTTGTCTGTAACAGTCCATACTTTGGAGTTTTGAAATCCTTTTTGAAACCATGGTTTCTTCATATTACTCACTTGTGGTCATTCTGCCTTTGACATTCTTTTTTTAAAAAATTTTTAAATTTTTTGCCTTTGACATTGTTAAATTGGCCTTGGAACACGAAGACGCACACAACTTCCAAAAGGCTTTGCCTCCTTCTATACGAACACTTAGTGCGTCACACTGCTGGGGAGAATAAAGCCTTTAGCTTCAAGTGTGATCCTTGACCTGGGGAAGGGCCTGGCTATTTCGAGAACTGCGGTGCAAACTGAGAATGTTAGCACCCAAGAAAGTAGGGCAGAAGCTAGGTTGTTCTGCACACTGACTGTCCTTTTTCCCTTCTACGCAGCGCTCTGGTCTGGGGTCTCTCTGTGAAACACAATCCTCAGAAAGTGGGTAAAGATCATACGCTGGAGGATGAGGATGTCATTCAGATTGTGAAGAAGTGAGACCTTGCCCTCCCCCGTCTGCCGGGCCAACCACAGCAGCTTTCCCCGCGACAAGCACCCTACTCGGTCCCTTCCGTTCTTGGCAGCCACTGGATCAGGGTACAGGGGTGGGAAATGGAGGCACCCAAGCTGGAACTTGTCTTACTGTGGTCTCACCTTCTATGTTGAACTGCATAAAAGACCAAGTAGACCTGTTCTTCATGTGCGTTCATGTGTCTTGTCGGATTTCTTTTGAGATGGGCTGAACATTGAGTGAAGAAGTTGCAGAAAGCGTACTGTGTCGCTTGGTTTTGAATGTGAAACGGATAAACATGTGATGTGTAACGTCTTACTTGATGCTGTGTGATGGGAGACTTCCAACTGCAGGTGGCCTTCGTCCTTTCAGATGATCTGAAGGACCGGATGTACGTTGTATTCCCTGCAAGGCTTCCATTTCGGGAGGTGGTATAGTGCAGCGATTGAGTAAACAACACTGCATAGGCGGACTGGGGTTTGAAGGGGCGTTGACCTCTGGTTCGCTGTGGGACTCTGAACAAATTATTCAATCCTTATAAGCGTCTGTTTCTTCATGTAGCTAGGGATATTAGTAGTGATTGTTACTACTGAGGGAGTCGATCATTTGCAGACTTCTGAGCGTAGTAACTGGCATATACATCCTCGGGGCGTGTCGGCGCCTGTTGTCTCGGGGTCCGTTCCTGTATTGCTGCCCAGTTGCGTACATCGTTAGTACTAGGCTGTGTTGAGCCGAAGCTTGCTGCCAGCTGGACCGCTTCCCGTGGCCAAGGCTTTCTGCTTGGACCTGCGTGGCCGTCCTGGCCTCAAACCCCGCAGCCTGGGTGAAGGTAGGAAGAAGAGTGCCAGTGAGTCGTCCGTGTGCTCGGAGCAGTAGGGTGGGCAGGACGCCGTAAGAGGGCACGAAGGGCGTAATCAGGTTTTAGAGGCTGGAAGAGGGGATTTAAAGGAATAGCCGATGATGTGAAGAGTTGGCAGTGATCTTGGTGTGGTAGGTTAGTGAGAATATGGGTAGGGGGTAGGGGTGGGCACATGGGTATGGAGGAAGAATCTAAACTTGGTAACGGACTGACGTGCTTTCTGAAGTCAAAAGATTAGTACGCTCTGCAAGGGTGATAGAGAGTCCCTGAGAAAGTCAGAGAAGTGAAGATGTATAGGAAGACAAACTTGCATTGTCTTCAGATGAGACGAACCAGAGCTTTTAGCAGGTGTGAGGGTGGGCAGGTGCGGCCACCCACGCACTCAGCTTCCGCCCAGGGCTCGCTCTGATGTCCTAGAGATGCTTTCTGGAGCTTTGCACTGTAGACCAGGACATAAAGCCCTGGCCTCAGGCCAGTCATGTTTCCAAATACAGACCTTGGTGTCGTGGCAGAGTCACGACGGAGGCCGTGACCTGGAGCCTTCCCCACTTTGCAGGGAAACATGGAAATAACGGCGTTCTGAGCCGTGCGATTTCCAGCAGGGCGTGTTCTCCCGCCGGAGCACGTTGGGATTTGGGGGGCCCTCATGCCAGCATTCACAGCATTTGGCACTCCCAGGGTGCTGGGGAGAGAAGTTGCCAAAATCCATTTTGTCTGAGGTTTCGGGACGTGCTTTAAAACAGGCCTGAATCCATCATTCAGCACCCTTCCTTCTCTTGGATCTCTGGCCCCATCATCCTTGAGGAGAGACTGCCCTACCTTTTTCTCCTTTGGGGTCGGACTTGGCATTTGTGGAGGAGGGATAGTTTTGTGCTGGGAACACTGACCTGGGTCGGTACTGAGAAGGTACATTCCCACAGCTAAACGTTTTCTCAAGACCTATGGGATTATAGTGGTCTGGCTGTCATGGCATGGCTTGAATTTTTGTTCTTTCTTGACCTTCCCTAGCACAATTAAGCAGACACACTGTTCTGTACCATTAATTAAAATGTCAACCACATTTAACAAGAAAGCACTGAGTTAACTAGCTGACATGGAAGGAAACTTGCTTCCATCAGTTGTCTACGGCGCATATGGGCTCAGGGCAGGTCACAGGTTTTTGAGCATCTAGGTTCTGTCGTCTGCACTGCCTTCTGCAGTTTGCTGACTTTGCTGCGCAGCTGGCTCCCCTCACAAGTCCGTGTGGCCACATCCTCAGGCTGAGCGTCCGCACCCAAGGGACAGTAAAGAAGGCTGGACAGTGCCTTCCTGAGAATCCCTTTCCTAGTCTATCCAACCAGTTTGTCTTCGTGTCTCAAGATCTAAATTGGGTCCCATGGCTCTTGGTCAGTGGTTGGTAAAGAGAATAGAATGTTTTTGTGCTTTTGAGACTGGCTTTACAGGCACAGGCCACCACACCCGGTGAGAAGAGAAGTATTAAAGCAGACTTTACCCGGTACATTATCTTCATTCCTGATTGTACTTGTGCTCGTGTGTCATTCACAAAGGAAGGGCCAGTGGACCCAGCTTTTCTCTTAACAGAGCCTGGCCTGCCACTTAGCTGCTCTCCTAGGAGCCTGGTGAAGCTCTTCTCAGGCCGCACTCCGCTTTCCACCTGCTAACTGCCAGGGTCCCGGGCACTGCGAGTCAGTGCTTCCTTTGGGAGGCACCATTCTTGCCTCCTATGTAACCTGGCCCGTTTCAAGGCACGTTTCCCACGCGGCTCTTTGTGGTGTTGATGTGTTGTACTTTGAAGACACCATCTGCATCCTGAGCTTCTCAACCTTTATTTGTACCTACACTCACTTTACCGCTTCTACACTTGTATTGTGCCTGCTGGAATTCCAGAGTTGTTCCAAAGAACTCTGTTGGCTGAGGCATCCCTTCTGTCTCTGTGTCCATGCATTAGACTCTTAGCTCCTGGAAGACTGTGCTATCTTCCTCTTTTGCTTCCCCTTCCTGCTGTATCAAAATAGCCTCATTAAAACCTATACGGCTAGCTTCTGAATTATCCTTAGGAATGCTCGCACCTGCTTCTGGCCCTGCCTTGCTCACCCTACACCTAGTACTGGTGGATGAGCCAAAGGGGAAATCGGTGGAATAGGACACAGGAAAAGGGAAGCTAGAGTCAGGCTTAAGGGTTCTGCCAGTAGGTTTGCTTTCTGTCCTTCACTTCTGGAAAACAAAAGCCTGTCCCCAGGTCTCTGAGGCTGAGGGATCAGACCAAAAAGGAATGCTATTAGAGGAGGTAACTAATGAGTTTGAAGAGAAAGGACCAGCAAGGGATTGACTTTCTGCTCAATCCGCAAAGCCAGGTTTTATTAAGAGGTGACCTTTCTTGTGTTCTTGTAGGTATAAGGCAGAGTGGGCAAGCCTAGGTTTACAGTTAGTATTTTTAACATTCAACACGTGGGAGCCACAGTGCCTTATCCTTGCACTCAAAATCCAACCACATGTCCTTCATTTTTATTTATTTGGAAACAAGGTCTCACTGTGTAGTTGGGTTGACCTTGAACTCACTGTGTAGCCCAGGTTGGCCTAGATCCACCTGCCTCAGCCTCCCAAGTGCTGGGATTACAGACATACACCACATGTGCCTTGCCCTTCATCTCTGAATTAGAAGATGGCCTCATTATTCCATCCTCTAGCATGGAGTCAAAAGTAGTTTTCACAGCCCTAAATAGGTATGTATTTAGGACTCAGATAAGTTACCTTAAGCTTGGGAAGTATCAGGTCAAATCAGTAGGACTGAAAAACCTTTAGTGAAGGAAAGGGGATTGAAGACCCTAGAGTATTCTGTAGAATCCTTTTCTTTCAATGCTATGTAGGTAAGTTGTAAGTTACTAAAACACTTGAGAGTTAAAAAGATGAAGTACACTATACCAGGACTTAGCACAGGCAGAGTCTTAAAAGCTCTAAAGAGAAATTAGCCTTTAATGGATTGAGTCAGAGCTGAGCTGGATAAACAGGATGGCTCTGTAAGTGTGATCTGTTTGGGAGAAACTACCATATACATGATTTCTAAACAAGCAAACTTTTTATTAGGTGAGTTTTAAAAATTGTATACTGTATGCACTGATATCCTGGTACTAGCCACAAGGCTACTTACAGCTCAGCCTAAATTGCCATAGTGGGGTCCTTAAGGTCAATAAAAGGCCAAAGCTGCTTCGTCCTAAATCAGGATAAAGACTTCAATTGTATGAGTTTTGAAGAAAAATTAGAACTTCAGGTCATTTCCCACAAAGAGCTCACAGAGGAAAGAAACAACAAGGCCATTCACTTCATTCACACATTTAGCATTTGCAACTTTAATCAACCAAAAGAAAAAAAGTCCCAAATGTACAAGTGAAAAAAATCCAAACTCTTGACACAGGCTTAACTAATACCAGCTACTTTTATGTACAGCTGTATAAGTTCAAAAAATCTATCCTATATGTATGTACAAAAGTTGTTTATACATAGTTCTGTACATAAGGGTCTATACATTTCCTCAGAACCCTTAGGTGCCACCTCTTGGTGAAGACACCAACACTTCATTCACATATCTTACAAAAAAGAAAAGACTTTCCAGGATTGACAAAACTCTGCATTCTGCACTCAGACCATGTAGGCTCCACTCTTGGTTAAGATCCTTCTGTCACAATGCAGACCATGCCAGGTGCATGTGTCCCCTTAAGAGCTTCACCCAGAATGCTCCAAAGTAGCCTGTAAACCAACCCAAGATGAGGCAGCAGAGTCCTGACCAGGATGCCACCATAGGTCCAGGCACGGATGAGCCTGCTTGCCCTGCTCACTGTCGGTATTCCAATTCATCTACACTGATGACTTTGGCAGGCATGGAGGGGAGGGGCTGCTGCAGCACATCTGAGCCGAACCACTTCGCAAGGCCCACGGGGGAGCTGCTCCTTTGGCTGGGGCGATGCTCCAGCTGGGAGTGCATGTGGGGCAGGCCTGGGCGACTGGGCACGTTCTGAGGAGTCGTCTGAATGCTGACAGCTGCCGCTTGGGACCCAGAGCCTGGAGGATGCAGAACTATGGAGATAAGAGGAGTTATCGTTCAGAGTGTGAGGGGGGAACGCAGTGCTTTGTCAGGCCCTGCTTCCAAATGATGCATAAAACTCCCCCGAAAAATCTTTATCAGAGGATTTACTATCAGGCTTTAAAAAACTCCTCTGCAAAATGTCTATTAAAGATCCACCCTGGATGACATGACTGTTTCCCATGCAAGCAATCCATCACAGAAGCACATGAGCTGGTAAATGGCATGTAGCCCGGACAGGTCCTA